AGATATTATTTATAAGCCACTTGACCCTATTGTTGTGGACCTATTTTTTGGTTTGTTATCGGATGTTTCCAAATAAGTTGATGGAAACTGAGGAATGTTGAATAGATTTATCTATTGCCAAACTCAATATCACGTGCCTTCGAATTGAAATGTTTAGATTTTGTGATTTTACCAGTGTGGAACCTCACCATGATTCATGGTTTTGTTGTAGGAGATCGGATTTGGATGAAGAAGAATTTTCTCTATTTCACAATTCAGTCAAGCGAGGAGATGTTGTTGGGATCATTGGTTTCCCAGGTCTGAGACTTACTTGATTTTTCACCAATTTTATGCTCCATACATGGTGTAATTGTTCTCTTTGAGAAGTTTGTTCAATTTGCTTGTGAAATTTAGTAGAAGTATCTATAATTCAGTGTTATCGATGGCGGATGGTGGGCCATGGCGGAAAGCCAAAAAACCGCCATATTTCTATTTGATAACGCTGCTACTATTGGATTATGATTTTAGAGGCCGCATTGTTATAAGGCGCATGCACTATTTCACTTTATTAGAATAGTTTAAGTCATGTGTGACTCCTCATGTTTTGGTTGGACCTTCAATTAGCTAGCCTGTTTTATTGGTTCCTCGTCATGTTTTTATCTATAATAAGAAAGTGGAGAACTGTTCTGAAGAATCAGTAACCTAATTATTTTAATTTATTTTATGTTAGAATGGACTCATGGTACCTCATTTTGTAGGTAAAAGCAAAAGGGGAGAGCTGAGTATTTTTCCCAAAACATTTATAGTTCTTTCTCATTGTCTCCACATGATGCCCCGACCAAAAGTTGGCCCAGGTTCAGAAAATGCTAAGGTGGCTGAGATCTTTTATTCTGATGTACGTAATGATAAAAGTTTCACTTCTTGATTGACATTATGCTACCTTTGGACAGGTAACCAATGCTTGGGTCCCAGGAAGTGGTAGAAACCCTGAGGCTTATATACTGAAGGATCAGGTACTGTTCAACTATCCATTTATCTTAAACTTGCCCTATTCTGTTTTGAAGGTCCATGTTTCTCATGAGTTTATTAGCTTTCATGTTAAAGTTCATAAACTGTTTTGCCATTTAACTGATCCGGAACCTATTTGTGATACCATTCAATGCATGAGTCTGCTGTGACTGTTTTTTCATTTCATACTGTAATATTTCATTCAGGAAACACGGTATAGGCAGCGGTATCTTGACTTGATGCTGAACATGGAGGTTCGTGAAATTTTCAAAACCAGGGCAAAGATTATTTCCTTCATCAGACGATACCTTGATGAATTAGACTTTCTTGAGGTAAGTGCATTGTATAATACATTATCTGTTTTATTGTTCTGTTCGTTTTTACTTCACTTCATAGGAATTTTTCATTGGGGGACACATGGTTGCCACCTCTAGTTTTTTGTTACTAGCACTTGCTTGCCCTCAATTTTTTTTATTCATGTTATTTTATGTTCCGAAGGTTGAAACTCCAATGATGAACATGATTGCCGGTGGAGCTGCTGCTCGTCCATTTGTAACCCACCACAATGAGCTCAATATGAGGCTTTTCATGCGCATTGCACCTGAACTGTATCTCAAGGAACTTGTTGTTGGTGGCTTAGACCGTGTGTACGAAATTGGGAAACAGTTTAGGAATGAAGGGATTGACCTAACCCATAATCCCGAGTTCACGACTTGTGAGTTCTACATGGCTTTTGCCGATTACAATGACCTGATGAAGCTAACTGAAGATATGCTCAGTGGTAAGTGGAAAATCCAGTAAAAAAGTAGGGCAATTCAAAAACGTCCTGCGGGTTCCGGCTAATTACAAGAAAACCTATAGGTTATTACAAATTGCAAACCCCCTCCAAGGAAATTTGATTTTCTGTATATGCTGGGGGGTTTTAGTGGGAAGAAATGAAAAATGGTGAAATCTAATCATTTGGAATTTCCTATATTTGGAACCTCAGGGTTTCTTCTAAAACTTCAATTGGGATTTTTTTTAGTTATCCTTTGAAAACTGGTATAGAGTGTGTTTGGTAATCACCATAAGCTAGCTATTAGCTTATTTGGTTACCTTAAGAAGTTTCATATATTCAAATAAGTATGGTTTGGTAGACTGAGCTTTTTAAAAATAAGCTTCTTTGGGTAGCTTTTCAAATAAGCTTGTTGAAAATTTTATTCTATTAGCTAATTTATCATATAAACTAGTTTTTCAGCCATAAGCGCTTGAAATTCACTTATAAGCTATCAACTAGCTTACATGGTATTTATCGCTTAGCAGCTAAGTTTACCAAACATAGCCATAGTATTAGCATAATTTTATTGACATATTCTGCATTATTAGGGATGGTCATGAAACTTACGGGTGGTTATGTAATAAAGTATCACGCAAATGGGTATGACAATGATCCCATCGAGATCGACTTCACTCCTCCTTTCAGGTATTTGAGCTTGCGCAGTATTCATATTGGCTCTTGAATTATGTGAACTGGATACAACAATTCAAAGTCCTTGCTTTTAATTGTCAGGCGGATTGATATGATAGATGAGCTAGAGAGGGTGGCTAATTTGAACATCCCTAAGGACTTGTCAAGTGAGGAAGCCAATAAATATCTGGTGGATGCATGTGCAAGGTTTGAGGTCAAATGCCCCCATCCTCAAACAACTGCTAGGCTGTTGGACAAAGTAAAATACCTCTCTATTTTTTTGTGTTATTTTTTTCTTCTAATATTACACGTTTTCTATATTTTGTGTGTCAGTTTGGGTTGCATATTATTGTATTGTGGTTTTGATTTATTATTCATTTAGTTATTTAATTCTTTTTAATAAACTGCTACGTTTGCTTCGTATAGCTTGTTGGCCACTTTCTTGAGGAGACGTGTGTGAACCCTACATTCATTATCAACCATCCTGAGATCATGAGTCCACTGGCAAAGTGGCATAGGTCCAAACCAGGCTTGACCGAACGGTTTGAGCTGTTCATCAACAAGCATGAAGTATGTATATCAACAATACTTTTCATCCCCCTCACTTTTCTATAATTCTCTCACTTTTCTTTTTCCAGTTTCATCCATTGTGTTTTGCCATACTGGATAATGCTTGTTATCTTATATTCTCATGGCAGCTATGCAATGCGTATACGGAGTTGAACGATCCTGTTGTGCAACGCCAGCGTTTTTCTGACCAGCTCAAGGTATTTGTTGCGAAAGCATAAATTGTAATGGTGTGCCTCTGTAAAGGTTTCTCAAGCGAGCAATCATGATCAGGGATGATTGCATAAACTACTCTTGAGGTTTTATTTATTTATTTATTTTATTTTTCAAAATTATCAATGCCCCATTGGTGTTTCCCTTGAGATTTGTTTTCTCAAATTATCCATAGGATTGAAACAAAATAACGAAGTTGCTGGTTGTAATTAGACTAAACCTTATTTGTAATTAAACTAATCTTAGCTCTTTTTTGTTAGCCCCTTGTGATTATTTGCATGCATAGTACTCTAACTTTTTTTTTTTTTTTTTAAGTACTCAAGTAACTTGCTAATGATCTTTTGTTGCTGGTTACAATAACTAGGACCGGCAATCGGGTGATGATGAAGCTATGGCCTTAGATGAAACATTCTGTACTGCTCTTGAATATGGTTTACCTCCAACTGGTGGCTGGGGATTGGGTATTGACCGATTTGCAATGTTGTTGACTGATTCACAGAACATAAAGGTTAACTTAACTTGTCCCTTCATATATTATTTCTAATTAATATTCTTATCAATATTGAATTCTCTCCTACATATACTTGTTTTTTTCCAGGAAGTATTGCTCTTCCCAGCAATGAAACCCCAAGATGAGCCATCGAACAAAGAAGGGTAAATAATTTGTAATTTTGAAAGGTTTTAACTGTTCTGCAGTTAATTCTTGTGGTAAAGTTGACATTAACTTTGTTTTCTTCAGCAATAAGAAAACACAGGATGCTCCCTCTCAAGGTACACAATGTATGATTTCACAATATATCCGTATTTTCTTGCTTCTCCGAAATATGTTCTCAGGATGTTTTTTTATGCTTAGTGAACCATATTGTAACTCATTTAGTTGCTATGTTTCCTTAAGGAAAGACCTTTTGTGAAAGTTATTTGTTTTTGGATTTGAATGCAGAGCTTGAGAAATTGTCGTTGTCGTAAAATTATGAAGGGCACTCAATTTGGGGGTTGAATGATGAGACATTTTGGGTGAAAAAAACTCTGAAGAGTTACAATTACAGTCCGAGCTGCCAATCGGAACATTTGATACATGGATACAACTCCAAGATTGAAAAATCTCATTATTTACATGGACTTCTATAGAAATCATGTTAATGCAGCAGCATGTACTAATACTGTGGATTTTAGTGTTCGTTTTGTATTATTTTTTCACTTGACCCCAAGTACTTGATGTGAAATGTTTTGATCAAAATCCCTTCTCTTCGGGAGAAATTTCTCAGTCTGTCCCTAAAAGCAATGTTGAATGTAAAGATTAAGCTCGTTTCGAAAGATTTGTTTTCATGATCCACTGTGCATTCTCGTGTCCATTCAAACGAGACAAAGGTCTCTACATGGTGCAATGAACAGCACAAACATGCACTTTGTGATCACTCTTTGCCACCAAATAATCGCACTATGACGACAAAATATACATTTACACGTTACACGATTACATTTCAATTGCTCCGAAGAGGCTTCAGTCACAAAATTCTCATAAAATTCTTTTCGCGACTGATATTTACCCAAAATGCAGAGTCTTTGTCTGCAAGCTTTCTTGAGGCAGTTCTTGATCAAAACCCAAGAACTGCTACTCATCAATTATAACATAATCCTTATATCGTGATACCATCACCCTCACGAATGTTGAAAAATTTCATAATATGTATTATGACGATTCGCTATTGTAGAAGTCCACAAAAAAAAAAAAAAAAAA